GGTGTTTTTGTGTGTGTGTGTGTGTGTGTGTGTGTGTATGTGTGTGTGAGTGAGTGAGAGTGTGTTACCTGACATGGTGAAGGATAATTTCCACATTCGACATTTGTGTTTGTCAGATGCAATGTAACTAGACTGAGAAACCAGATACGATGCAAAGCCCTCGATTTTGGCTTATGAGCTACCTAATAATATCTCAAGAAGAGCAGGAAGGGAAGGGGGTTTTAGTATGATCAGGATGCTATTTTTGTTCTTGTAATGATGGAAAGAGATGTAGAACAGTTATGAATCATCCATGTGTTACGCAAAAGCCGCGACTGAAATACACTAGGTGGTAGGTTTTAGTTAACGACATAACTATTGTTAGGAAAATGTGTATCCTTGCTTGGGAGAGTGGAAATTTATTTGAACATTGTTCAACTATTTTTTTTCATACGTCGGAACATGCTTTATTAATTCATCTCGCACCTGTATCTTAACAAGAGAGCAAGCGAAACGAGATACGTGTTTAAACCAAAAGAAGCAAGAACTCCAAACTTGTTTCAAAAAAAAAAAGTTAAAATAGAAAAAATATGTGTAATCTGTCAGTATAAACTGTTTGGGTTGACTTACTGCCGACCTGATATGGCTTTACTGTACTTTTTACGTGAGCGTAAGTCTATGGGAGGTTATCGTTGAATAGTTTTCTGTATTCCTTTCCTAAAAGTCTATTATTATAGTCTGATTTCAGCAGTCCATAATAACTGACTACATTGATTCTAAAGTAACAGTTTTAGAAACAATTCTTTGCATTTCTCTGCACTTGCATCTTATTGCGGCGTCAAAAATAATCACAATCGTGTGTATCTTACTTCATTTATTTTATTTTATTTTCAGACATTTTCACTTCGCTTGAGCAGGTAATTCGCTCAATATTTCGCCTTTACCATGTCAAATGTCACTTAAACAGACGTAGCTACGACGGCTTAAAATTGAAGTCTAATCAGAAATTGCGTTGATCCGATAGTAGTCGGAAGATTAGTTTCTCAAGAGAATGTATCTGCAATAATGCTGCTTCATTTCTAAATAACACAGAGTTGGTTTGTGTCGTTTTAAAAGAGTGACATTAATTTCTTAGATGTTAAAGGATTATTCGACTTACTAAACGAACTTAAGTCAACGAAAGGTAATCGAAAAAGCAAAAGTAAACCAATGACCGTCTCTCGGCTTCCAATACGTTAGAGGTGAAGGACTCAGTGACAAAGGCACTATAGTGCGGTCAAAAATTCGAGGTGCAACTTATTGACTTATTGTCAAATAATTATCTCCTCAGCTATCGAATATAAACTCTACAGCTTTTGCACAGTGACTTTTATCAATTTGTCTTAACAGATCAATATTTTTGTAAACACTTGTTAGCTCTCTTCAAGAACATTCCTTAATAAATACTAATTTAAAATCTCAGAGGGTGGTTTTTTGCTGATTTTAAAAGATTTGCAGCGGGGACGATATCGCTTTTAAAAGCAAGTCTGTCATTTTTTTCTTATAGAGAGATTATCTTTATTGAACACATGATTTGAGAAATTTTAGTGTAAAAAAGTGTTCACTGTAAAATGGATTCCTTTTAACTAGTTCCACCTTTAAAAGGTGTTATGGGTGAGCTGTGACGTAAACTAAATGCGTATACAAAATGTGCGTGAGAAGCGGAAAGTGCTGTAAAAAATTCCATTTTCCTCGTGAAGGAGATTTTAGTATTTTATATAAATTAGTGAAAAAATGTTTTTTAATTTTGTGTTCAATTGTTGTGGAAAAGTATGATTATGTTAAGACAAATTGGTACAAACTGCTGTGCAAAGTATGAGTGACAATGATTTAACAGTTTAAAAGTTATTTGAGGATAAATTTCGCCTCGAATTTTTGATCGCACTATAAATCAAATTACTACAAAAGTCAGAAATAAAACTAATAAAAAATCATTCCCTGAATACCAAAGTATGAACGAAATGAAATTGTATCATACTAGGCTAAATATCCAAGGAAATGTATATTTTCATGACATTTTATCTCATCATCAGTTTATGGAGCGGACGGGGTTTTCCAGAAATACCTAGATTTGGCGCATTGTGCGTTTTGCAATGGAACCCTTCAGAAAAATAAAATTATGTTTCAACAGAACATCGACTGTGCCTCTTACATCCACTAGAGGTCGCTCACCTTGTCTGTCCACCTCGAGTAACCAGGGCCCAGTAAGGTTTGAGCTGTCGTGGCGCCTCAATTAAACTCTTCGCTACCCAGGTCATGGGTCCACTTTTCCTTCGAATGGGTACGGGGGAGGGAGGTGGGGGAGAGGGGGTGGGGCGTCTTTTCTTTTGGAGGGATGTTTGATGGGGGCGGGACAATCTTGCTTTTTGGGGGGTGGTCGGTGGGGATGGGGGGCAGATGGTTTTCTTCAGGGTTGGGTGGGGTTGATGAGGGGGTAGTGCGTGGGATTAGGTTATGAGTTTTCTCTTTTTAAGGCCTGGTGGGTTCAACGGAGTGGGGTGAATGAGTCTTCCCCTTTAAAATGACGTATGTTTTGGGGGTAGGGGTGGGGGCGATGATTTGTACTGTTGTAAGACCATCAAAAGTTTTAAAACAGCGATTACAAGTTCGTGCAACTGCCAAAACTAAAACTTGTTGGGGTTTCATTCTAAAACGAGGGTAAGCTCGCGTAACTGAGTCAACGTAAACTGTCAAAAAAGAAAGACTAGAACGTTCGTGCAACTGAAGAACTGTAAGATTCAAGTTTAGAAAAATAAGAAAATGCGAAGCGAGAGAGGGCTGTTTTAGAACGTCATGACGACAGTAGATGTCTGGCGGGTAGGTGTGTCCGCCTAAAAGAGGCGATCTAGAAGGTATATGATGTTTACTTAGTCTTGAGTAAGGGGGAGGTGTTGAATGTGGAGGGAAGATAGGGAGATGACGGGATGTAGGGTGGAAGTGGTTTGATGCTGATATTCGAGGGCCAGAAAAGGGATCTAAAAAATGTACGTGTACGAACTCGCGCGCCCGCATGTGTGTGTCTTAGTGCGTTTGTGGGTGTATTTGTGGGTGTGTATGTTGGGAGGGGGGAGGGAGAACGTATGTGCGTTCTGCCTGTGTTTGTGTGGTGAGTGTGAGAAAAGAGAACGGGGAGGGGGTGGGAGAAAGGAAGACAAATAATATGCTTACTGACAGAGAGAAAGAAAGAATGACAGACAGAAAGAACTCTCAAG